GAAGACAATCACCACCCTCCGCTCAACGATCCTCACTGCTCCAAGCCGTCTAGGTGGCGGCAACCACCAAGAGTAACAAGCAAAATCCGCAGCGAAACACAATCACCAAGTGCCTCTAGATGCAATCACTCAAGCAATGCACTTGGATCACTCCTAATCTCACAAAGATGTTTAATCTATGATGTAAATGAGTGGGAGGGCTTTGGCTAAGCTCACAAGGTTGCTATGTCAATACAAATGACCAAGAGAATGAGCTTGAGCCGGCCATGGGGCTTAAATAGAAGCCCCCATGAAATAGAGCCGTTGTACCCCTTTACTGGGCACAACGTTGGGTGACCGGGCGCTCCGGTCCGATTGACCGGACGCTGGTCCTCAGCGTCCAGTCACGTGATTCACGCCACGTGTCCCCTGCTTCAAATAGTGAACGTTTGATCTTAATGGTCGAAATGTTTACCGGACGCTCCAACACTGTTAACCGGACGCTGGACTCTCAATGTCCGGTCGTTTCCAGTAAGGGTCCAAATCCTATTTTTGCCGACCGGACGCGTCCGGTCAAGCTTGACCGGACACAGCCCAGCATCCGGTGCTTAACCCTAACCACTGTGCTGACCGACCACTCGACCGGACGTAGCCTTTCAACGTCCGGTCGCAGAGCAACCCAGCGTCCGGTCAGTAGACCGACGCCAGCATCACTGCGACCAACTCCATTTCACTTCTAACTTCTTCACCCTTGCTCAAATGTGCCAACCACCAAGTGTATCACCTTGTGCACATGTGTTAGTATATTTTCACAAACATTTTCAAGGGTGTTAGTTCTCCACTAGATCCTAAATGCATATGCAATGAGTTAGAGCATCTAGTGGCACTTTGATAACTGCATTCCGATACGAGTTTCACCCCTCTTAATAGTACGGCTATCGATCCTAAATGTGATCACTCTCTAAGTGTCTTAATCACCAAAACAAAGTAGCTCCTATGGTTTATACCTTTGCTTTGAGCTTTTTGTTTTTCTCTTTCTTCTTTTCCCAAGTCCGAGCACTTGATCATAACCATGACATCACAATCATCATATTATGATCGTTATTTGCTTCACCACTTGGAGTGTGCTACCTATATCATGATCACTTGATAAACTAGGTTAGCACTTAGGGTTTCATCAATTCACCAAAACTAAACTAGAGCTTTCACATGTGCACAAGGTGATACACTTGGTGGTTAGCACATTTGAGCAAGGGTAGGAAACTTCACCGGCGGAGACAGTCCGACGGTGCCACCGGCGCCCTAGACAGAAAAGACGAAGGTCACTGTAAGTGACCGGACGCTGGTCTCAGTTGGACCGGCGCATCCGATCAGTAGAAGCAGTGAGCGCGTGGTCTTGGTCTTCGACCGGACGCTGGCGCTAAAAGTGACCGGACGCTGGCAGGGTGCGTCCGGTCAGTGATGACTTACGCTGACGTGAGGCGCACAGAGAAAACGTTGAGTGACCAGACGTAGGGTGTGTCTGGTCGAGCATGACCGAACGCGTCCGGTCGTGAAAATTCGTGTTTGGAACCTTACTGGAAACGACCGGACGCTGAGATCCAGCGTCCGGTCACTATCTAACTGACGCGTCCGATCACCAGTTGACCGTTGAGATCGGGCGATTAGCGTTTATAGCCGATGACACGTGGCACACATCACGTGACCGAACACTGGGGTCCAGCGATCCGGTCGATCTGACCGGTGCGTCCGGTCGGCCCGTGTTCAGCCCAGTGAAGGGGTACAACGGCTCTATTTCGTGGGGGCTTCTATTTAAGCCCCATGGCCGGCTCAAGCTCACTCTCTTGGCCATTTACATTGACATAGCAACCTTGTGAGCTTAGCCAAAGCCCTCCCACTCATCTCCATCATTGATTCATCATCTTTGTGAGATTGGGAGATAATCCAAGTACATTGCTTGAGTGATTGCATCTAGAGGCACTTGGTATTCGTGTTTTGTTGCGGATTTCGCTTGTTGCTCTTGGTGGTTGCCACCACCTAGACGGCTTGGTGCAGCGGTGGAGGATTGGCACGAGTTGGTGATTGTTCGTGGCCATTTCCGGGGATTGTGAGGGGATTTATACCTTCCCCGACAGAGCGCTGAAAGGTAACTCTAGTGGATTGCTCATGTCATTGAGTTACCTCACTTATGGATAGGTTCTTGCAGTGTCCAATCGTGTGGACGAGGTTTGTGCAACACATCTTAGCCGCCGAACCACCAAGTGTTGGTCGACACAACGAGGACGTAGCGTGTTGGCAAGCACATGAATCTCGGGAGAAAATCGGTTGTCTTTTGCTATTTGGCATTCTCTCGGTGATTGATTTCATCTTTATCTTGTGATTGGTTCATCCCTCTACACGGCGGTATAATCACCCTACTCACTCTTTTATATTCTGGCAAACTAGTTGTGGCAAGCTCTTTAGTGTAATTAGAATTGAAAGCTTGATTTGTTATTTAAGTTCATCTAGTGGAGCTCTTTAGTATAGTAAGATTGAGAGCTCTTAGTGAGTAGTATCATAGCAAGTTGTGTGTCTAGTAATCATTGTAACTAGAATTATTGGATAGGTGGCTTGCAACCCTCGTAGAGCTAGAGCAAGTTTGCATTTCGCTATTTATCTTTCTAATCAAATTGCTCTAATTGATTTGTAGATTTTTAAATAGGCTATTCATCCCCCTTTAGCCATATTAGGACCTTTCAACTGACGTGCTCTTGAGAGAGTAATGCGCTATCTAAAAGGCACCATGAGCTATGATATTCGTTATACCGGACATCCAAAAGTGATGGAAGGCTAATGTGATGCCAACTAGATCTCTGATGCTGATGAGCTTCATGCCACAAGTGGATATGTGTTTTCGCTTGGAGGTGGCGTTGTTTCCTAGAAGTCTTGCAAGCAGACTATCTTAACGAAGTCTACAATAGAAGCAGAACTCACAGCATTAGACACCGCTGGCTCTGAGGCGAAGTGGCTTCGTGATCTCTTTATGGATTTATCGGTTGTTGAAAACCCCATATCGGCTATTTCTATGAACTGCGATAACTAGACTGTGATTACAAAGGTTAACAGTTCTAAGGATAACATGAAGTTCAAAAGGCATGTTAAGAGACGACTGAAATCTGTTAGAAATTTGAGAAACTCTGGAGTAATAGCGTTGGACTATGTTCACACATCTAACAATCTGACAAATCAATTCACTAAGGGCCTGTCACGCAATGTGATAGAAAGTGCATCGAGAGAGATGGGTTTGAGACCCCCTTGAAAATTTACTATAGTGGTAATCTGTTCTATGTGATCGGAGATCCCGTAAAGTAGAATGGTGAAACAAACTAGTAGTAAATTGTGAGAAAAGATTCTTAGCAAGACTCATTTCTGATGCACATTTTTCCTATCTGTAAGGCAGATTGGTTTTACCTTAATGTGTTCTAAGTGGCTTGCTAAAGCAAAGATATTGTCCTACAGAACATTTTTTGAGCAACACACCTATATGAGTCAGACTGCTGGTCACAGTCTATGAGATTTGGGTGATATCTAAATGCTCATGAAAGGCACTGGAGTATGACTTATATGCTTTAAATAGAGGGGATGCCTTTTGCAGCCAAGTATCAGCTAAGGACTTTAGTGACATTCACCTCACACAAAACTGGCAATTCAAGGCTTAGTCCATTATTCAGTTGTGACTGAGTGAAACTATTGCTCTAGATGGATGTTCAACTTAACAGACTCCATCGAAACACTGGTATATAAAAGAAATGTGGTTCTGAGACTACTTTGTTACAAACCCTAAAGTTTGGTGGGGATTATTGGATATATTATGGGCTTGGCCCGTATAATATTTAATAAATCAAATAAAACTTTATGGTACGTAATATTAAGCGTTGTATGATTTAATACCATACGGGATTTTGACTGAATGTTGACACAGCTTATATGGTTGAAAACTATTCATCTAAATTGAGAAGTTGAAAAAAGGACATAGGCGTGCCACACGCGCGCGCACGCGCCGCCGTCGCGCCGGCCGGGCCGTGGCGAGGCAGGTGGGCGGCGAGCGAGCGGGCGGGCGTGGCCAGTCTTTTGCCACTTAATCCACATAATCACAGGAGTTACTCCCTTTGATGGTGGAGGCGAACTGATTGTGTCAGTTATCGTCTTTTTCGCTTCCGCTTCTCCGTCTCCTGGGATTCTCCGCTGCCTTTCTCCGTTCCCGGTCGCAGCCATATATCCGCAGTCCTTCGTCAATCCAGATCTCTGTAGTCTGTCTTCCGCAACCGCTCCCGAGAGAAACCACATCTCAACAGCCTTCTGGCTTTCCTGTCCCATATCTCTGCGCGCACGGAGTAGCGGGAGAGCAGGTGTCTCCGGAACCCTCGCCCGCCTGAGAACCTTGCACGGGGTGTGCAGCGATTAGGTTTTTGGGGAGTGATCCGCGACTGCTTGTCCATATACGCCTTCTTCCTGGTGGTGATCGCTCTAGGAACCCGTCTTCTTTCCGGTGATTGCCTGGGGAACAGCAATGCGTCTTCTTCCTGGTGATCTGTTCGTAGGACTGCACTGCGAACATCGTCCTGCACCGACTATGGTCCACGACTTCGAACAACGCACTATGTCGACTAGTGCAAATAGAGCCTCCGATGCCCTCGGCATGGGACCCTCTGCTGGGTATAATCTAATCTCTGTTATTACTGTACTTTGCGCTTTTACTGTATCCATCTGTATGTCATCTCTGCATGCTGTAGCGTTCATTAGAGATATACATATGCACATATATGCCGTTACGAACTTGCTGATATTATTTTTCTGGATTAAATTAACCATGAAAATACCTATTTTTTTAACAGGAGCACCTCCTCCCTCCTCCCTAGAGATCACAGTATTTCGTTCCCTGATCATCGGCTCAGCACACTCACCGCCACCGTCGGCTAGCTTGTCCTCTGCGATCGTCGTCTTGGACTTGATTGCCTCAGCACACGTACCGCCGTCATCTGCTAGCTTATCCTCTGCGGTCGTCGCCGTCTTGGACTCATGTGCCCTGTCTCCGTCTCCTGGACCGGCGGCGCCTCGTCGGGTTCGTCGTCAGCGGCTTGTTCCGGCTCCAGCAGGTTGTTCTCATATTGCAGCAGGACCAGGCCCAAGGAGCCATCAGGGCGACCACTCTCCACCATGACGGGGACCTTCTTCTCCTTTCCATTCTTTCCTTGGCGCAGCTCGTATCGATTGTGCAGTTTCCGAGACCGGAACGACCATAGCTCGACGTGCATGGCCACGCCCAGGCCGTTGTCGTTGACATACGCCTTCCATCCGGTGATGAAGCGGCAGCCGGAGTTCGACACGAGGTACTTGCACGTGAGGTTGTAGCTCCGGCCGGCACGGTCGAACGCGGTGACGAGCAGCCCGGTCTTGTCCTCGACGAACTCCATCTCCGTCTCGGTGAAGACGCTGGTAACCTGCGACGGCGACTCGCGCTTACATGAGAAGAGCAAGCGCGCCTGCTCGTGGTTCACGTCGCTCATCAGTCATCACCAGAGACTTTCCGATCATGAATGACGGCTCTGTTGCGCCAAGTGCCTCGAGGCGCTCGCGCAGCGCGTCGGTGAGGCCGGGGATCTGAGCAAAAGGGACCGGATGGCGTGGCTGTTCCCGCGACATGTTGGCGTCCTTCTTCTCTTTCTTCTTCTTCGCTGCCGCCGCTCCGGCCCTTGCGTGTGCACTTCGGCCGCCGTCCTCCATAGGCGTCGAAATTGATTTGATAGATATGGAGTTTTCCTTGTTTTTTATAAGAATTGTTGCCACCACCCCCAACTGAATTTATAGTAAAAAAAGCTGGGTTTTAGGTCCGCATGCCATAGTCCTATCCCTCTACGCCATGAACAACCTGTGTGTCCACAGATGGAAGCGGATCGAATTCGCATGGAATCGGATCTAATGTCACCTTTTGTCACATTTTAATTAAAATCCAAATACGAATATAAAATGAATGTCTCGGATTTGGATTTCTATTAGGGTATTTACTCAATTCAACTCAAAGTGCATACTGTTAAATTTGACATAGATGAATAGAATTTTACTACTAAATTCGTTGATAACCAAAGTGAAATAAAATCAAAGTACACTTCTAATAATCTCCAATATCCAAGTAAACCAAATTACAATGGATAATATTTAATAAAATGGTAGATCAAGTGAAGAAATTTATATAAAATAATATAGTTATCCATAAATATTTAATACTTAAATATATCAATTAATCAATAATTATTTATATAATATTTATCTTGAAATTATAAATCATATAAAATAATTTACATTAGCAAAAAAAGTATTAAAATAATTTACAACAATAAATAATTAAGGCATTAAAATACTTTAGGTTTAAACTAAATTAAAAATACTAAAATTAATTTAATATATCATACACGTGCTATTGTAGAATATACTGAACAAAATTTAGTACAGTTCAGTACTCGCGTGTCAGTATTTTTTAGTATTTTCATGGTATTGGGTATAGTACTGACTGATACTGAACGATGTTCAGTAGTACTCAATATTTTTTTCTAGTCAGTTATTATTCTACACCTAGGGTATAGAATAGCACTGTCGTAATATATCATTAATAATATTAAATTAATATTTAAAGTTACTTATAGTTATTCTACCAAATATTTTGAATGCATTATTAGTAATATTTAAATTAAATAATTAGTCACTAGTCATGGAGAGAACTTTTAAATAGATTCAATATATCGTGTTCTTCTAGATACGGATAAATGTCATATATATTTCATATTTTTGTTGAATATGGATCTGGAATCGGATAGAAAAAACTACTGAAAAAAAAATTCGGATATTTCCATTTACTTTCTATATTAGAAACTAATACGAATACTAATTTCCATATTATATATAAGTTTTAACAGATTTGAATTCGGATAATTCAAATTTCCGGACAACTATTTCCATCCCTATGTGTGTCGTCCTGGCCCAACTTTTCTCCACGTCCGCTGGAGCGGGAGGCCCAGGCCCAGCTAAAGCGGCAAACCGTCCAACCCTAAACAACTGGGCCCCACGGTGGCGGAGACCTCGAGCACCAGCAACCACCACCTCGGAGGCGGGTAGCGTGGCGGCCGTGGTCGTGGCGTTGCTGGCCTGGCCTGGCAGGCAAAGGTAGGTTCAGACGCGACGGAGGCGTGCCCCACTCGACAACCCATCAGGCTTCCCCTACTCCTTTCGTCTCCCTTCCTTTCTTTTTCCCTGCGCCGTCCCGTGCCCCCTCCGCTAGTTCTCGTCTCCCCAATTCCTTCCCCCACCTCCTCGGTCGTTGCCTCCCCCAGAGAGTAGGGAGCCGCCTCGTCCCTCCCGGCCCCGCCCCCCATCCCGTCCGTCGCCATGAATCCCGAGTAGTAAGTTCCCCCTCCCTCCTCTCCCTCTCCAATCGTGCTGCCGTTTCCGATTCTGTCGGTGGTGGCCTCGTTGAATCTAGAGCGTAGTCGGGAAGTTCGGGGAGCCCGCTGATCTCTCCGCCGGCCGCCTGCTTTGGTCGTTCGGTCGCCGATTCGGCCCCGATCGTGGGTTTTTAGAGGGTCTCCCTTGCTCCTTTGCTTGGTAGTTGCCGCGGTGCTTGGAGTCTTAGCTTTGTCGGTCCCCATGCCAGAAATAGCAGATTGTTGGATGCGCCGTCCCCGGTAGCCTAGGAACGACCTAGATTCGTGCATGTGCCGATGTGCGCTCGTTCGGTCGCGTTACACCCGCGTAGCCGTTTGCTCGGGGCGTTCGGAGGCACTACTATTTGTTTTACTCTTTGCTTTTGTCGTGGATGTGCTCACCAAGTTCGCTGTAGGGTGTGTTGGCTTGTGGGCAGGACCGAGATGATGTCATCATGAGATATAGATGCTTGTGTTATGATTTCTGACAACATGCTCTTGTTATTGTGCAGCGACTACCTCTTCAAGCTGCTCCTCATCGGGGACTCGGGTGTTGGCAAGTCTTGCCTGCTGCTGAGGTTTGCGGTGAGGATTCTTATCTTCCTTTCACCACATATGAGGAAGCAAGGTCTTCTGTTTTAATTTGCATGCATTCTCCATGACAACACTGGAAGGAAAATGTCCATATACCTAGGAAGTGTCTTTTTTTGTTTAGTTTTGATGATGCATCTCCTACCAGGGTAGATGAAATGTTGTTCTCCAAGGCATGGTGTGAGTGGTGTCTGACTCACACTCATGTCAAATGACTTCTGACATTGTATAGGCATGGTTACCATAACAACTTCTTGTGATTGGCCCCTTTGCATACATTTGGCAATCTGGTCCCTGGCTCAATAGTTTACTTATATACAAATGTTGCTTTGGTCCAGTATCAAATATTGACCTGTCTAGGGTAGCTTTCTGGTCAACTTTGGAAAAAAATAGTCAAGTTTCAAATTCTTATCTCAATTACATTATTTCATCGAATTGAACTTTGAAGTAGAAAAATACAAAGCACGCAGAATCCAGCAGGTGCTACTAGATTCTTGTTTGAGTTGTCATCTTACATACTCTCAAATCTCAATTATTTTCCATCATGAAATGTAACCATAAGAGCATTCCGATACAGTACCACCATTTATGGAATGGTGTTTAAAAACAGCTGTATTCCTGAATTTCTGTTGGGCATCATCCCTCATAATAGGTGCTTGTTATGCTCATCCGTTTTAATGTGAGGATCTTTCTTATCATTTACTTTACAGGATGATTCATATCTGGAGAGCTATATCAGTACTATTGGAGTTGATTTTGTAAGTTGGTTTCTGAATGAGATAAAACAAAGCTGATTCCCTCTGTAGTGTGCCATTGCTTGCATGCGTTGCTAGTTGTTACTCATGTAAGACCTTTTTTTCCTCCCGGTCTGCTAGAAAATCCGCACCGTTGAGCAAGATGGGAAGACAATAAAGCTGCAGATTGTAAGTAATCAACTGTAGTGAAGGTTACATTTTATGACAGAAGCTTTGACACTGATGTTTCTGCACATTCTTCTGATTTAGTGGGATACTGCTGGCCAAGAGCGCTTTAGGACCATCACAAGCAGCTACTACCGTGGAGCTCATGGCATTATTGTGAGCTTTCTTTTTCTTTGTTCCTTTTTCGTTTTTCATTTTGTATCTATTATTATCTCATCTTGGTTAATCTGGGTCTTTTAAACCTTCTTGTATTTCTATAGGTCGTGTATGATGTAACTGACCAGGAGAGCTTTAACAATGTCAAGCAGTGGCTGAATGAAATTGACAGGTATGCCAGTGAAAATGTGAACAAGCTTTTGGTGGGGAATAAGTGCGACCTGGCTGAGAACAGAGTAGTTTCTTATGAGGCTGGCAAGGTAACATTTTCTCTGCATTAATTACCTTTACCGAACATGCTGCTTTCAACCTGGACGATAGTTAAATGGCTGCATGTTGCTTGTCATCACAGGCCCTTGCTGATGAGATCGGAATACCATTCCTTGAGACTAGTGCCAAGGATGCAACAAATGTGGAGAAGGCATTCATGACCATGGCAGGGGAGATAAAGAACAGGTAACAGCATCCTTTGTTGTAGACTTTGTGTGGCAGCAGTTTCTCATTCCTTTTGGAGTCATCTAGTATGTCAACATATGGAGACCCTTTTTCATTGGGGGACTGAGTACAAACAAAGAACACTGTGGAACATACTACTATTGCATATGATTCAAAGTGAATAATAAGCCATGAATAGCATGATCACTATTGTTGCTATTGTTCATCTGCATATGGGAGCAACTAATAGATCTTGGTTCTCCTTTTTGTTGAATAGGATGGCAAGTCAACCAGCTGCAAGTGGTGCTAGCAGGCCTGCAACTGTGCAAATGCGGGGTCAGCCTGTTTCTCAGCAAAGCAGCTGCTGCTCTTGATCGTCTTTCTAGATCACAGTAGTGTGATTGGGCAGCAAGCAAAACTTAAATTGGTTGCTCTATCCCTGTACATTAAGCCTGTCACTATCCAAAAAAACTCGGTGTTATCTGTCGGATATTGAAAGTATGTCTACTGACTGCAACGCTTAAGCAGATGATGTGGCCTGTTTTAACTGCCTGTTCTTATTCCAGTGTTCATGTGATGTTGGATGAAACCGTTTCTCATTTCAGCGCTAATGAGCTAATGATGTGTGAAGTGGAGGGTCTGTTCGGCTGGTATTAAAGCCTGCTGAAGCTGTTTTGTTGTGAGAGAAAAATACTGTAGATTTTAGCTGATAGCAGGCTGATTAGTTCAAGCAAACGGCCCTGGAGTTAGGATGATATTCTTTTTATGATGAGCAGTCGTTAATCTACGAGCCACTACCTATTTACTCATAGCATATTACCATTTCCACACCACCCACCCACCTACCTACCCATAAAAAAGGATAGTTTTCTTAGAAAACAAAATTGCTACAAGCGAATGTGGCGTCACAAGCCGGTGAATGTTGTCGCCTATATAGATAAAACGACTGTTGTGATCGTGCTGCTTAGAATCTAAACGAGTACATCGATCCTAAGAAAAATATTCAGCGCAGACCTTCTAATAGATGAGTCGTGAAAACCTTTAGAAAAACATACTGGAGTTTAAAAAAAATTAAAAGGACCTTACTATTGTTCGCTTGCGTAGGTGGAGAAATTTCCGTCCATACGTCTCTCACCCTGCACGCCTCCTTCCTCAACTTCTTCCTCCCACCCTCTACCCGCACACCGCAACACCCCCCACCCCACCCCACCCCCCTCCCACCCGGCTCTCGACCCCCTCCCCTCCCACGCCTCCCATCTCCCACCGCTCATGCAACCTCCTCCCCCACATATCATCGTTAGCTTCAACGAGGTCCTTCTTCCGCGGCGAGCTCCAGCCATGGCACCCCGCCCTAACTTGGTCCGGCCACCTCCACTGTCGCCAGAGCCCCCAAACTGTCTTGCTGCCGTCCCCACAACCTGGCCGGCCTGCTTCCCCGGAGTCCCTTCTCTTCTAAGCCTATTGGAGTTGGGGAAGAAAGGGGTGGCGTGGGTCACCGAAACCCTAGCCGCCGCCGGAGCTAGGGAAGAAGACGGTGGGTGCGGGCGAGGGAGCGCGAATCAGACGACCGGGGAGAGCAGAGCGTGAATCGACGGTGGGTGCAGGTGAGCGCGCCGAGCGCCCAGATCATGCCCGCTCGGAAGTAAGCGTTTCCGAAATTAAAAATATGCACTTCCATAATGCATCTATATAGATATAGACTGTCGCAAAATTACTGGCTTCGCACACAAGTAACTGCATAACCAATCAGAGAGTGAACCTATCATGTAGAACATTTTCTGACCTAGTTGCATACGAGGTACGAACAGCTTCTCACTGGAATGCCTGCCCACACGGTATTATCTGGGTGCTCTCCCATGCCATAGTCTAGATGCCTCGACCTTATGCGATGTGACAAAATCTGCACTGGTGATGTCACAGAATTAGCACATTCAAGCATCTACACCGTAGAGACGAGCATCAACACTAGATATACCTGGTGACAACTCATGCTCAAAGCTGCAAGTAGTTGCACGAAGCCCTGCAATCGTTGCAATGACTGATTACATACAGCAACTTGCTACTTGCCTAAAACAACTAAATGTTGCCGGCAAATATGAGGAAATTTTATATACAGGAACTTGCTACTTGACTAAAACAACTAAAAGTTGCCGGCAAATATGAGGGAAATTTATAACATGTATATGAACAGGGCTGCTGCCATTTTTTCCTCCACTGTCAGATGAAGCCACAGCAACTGATGCCCCTTATTTCCTCCCACCATTGGATGTTCGACCCATATGTCATGGTGGGTAAGTTGTAATTGCCTAGTGCGGCTACAGATTACATCATGATATACTGATATAAATATGCCAGGCAATAAGCTTTTAGATTAACTAATGTACAAAGGAAACCTAGCAAATGTATATGCCTGCCCACATTCTATCTCTGCAATGCAAAACTGCCACAACTTCAGGTGGGGTTTTCTTGTCTCAACGGAAAGCTTAGTGCTTCATTGATCCTACTGAAAACGAGTCGAAGTGGGACGCAGGCGACTGCTGGTCCGTCAGTTTGTGCAACTACAGGCTTCTGGTCTGCACAATCTCTCCGGCTGCCAGCGAAAGATGATAGCCTCCTCATTTTCCTTGGCGAAGATACTGGTTTCTTGGTATGGGGTCGCCAAGACTTGTCCAAATCATGTTCTGAGGCCTTTTTACGTCCACTGGATTTAGATTTTGATCGTGGTGCATGTGAAGATCTTGCTTGCCGTGGTTCTGCAACTCTGCTCTTCAGTAAGGAGTCGAGACTGCCCATCACCGGGCGGTGCTCATCTCTACTTGTGGTGGGACGACTATCCTCCAAAACCTCCACAGTGACAGGATACCCCACAATTGGTTTACCTGACCATTTACTCATGAGGGAAACAAGGGGCACATGATAACCCTTGTAGCTTCTTTGGACAGTCAGCTCAACATCATATAATCTATGATCTTCGCGTGCTCTCTTAGTTGGACTCGTTACAGGGCATCTTGGAGGTTTCAGATCAGGCCGCTGTCCAGGCGGTGGTAGTACTTGAAGTGGAACATAATTGGGGAATGATGTTGTGCCCTTCTCAGAGTTTGAATGGTTGCTTATAGTTTCAGAGGACTCATCATGCTCAGGAGTCGCATGTTGTGTATTATCCTCAAGTTCAGCAGGCCTAAAGACAGTACCTTCCGATTTTATAATCCCTTCACATTGCAGCAGCGAATTTTTATCCCTCTTGTGGCTTTCTTTAGGTATCAAATTGACAGACGTTATGCTTTTCTTCTTGGAATTTCTATTGTGCCGAGTTGAAGGTATGCCACCTATGCCACAGCCAGTACTTTGATTAACCAGTTTTGAAATTTGATCCTTTATGGATGCACAAGATCCATAAATATCCAGATGGCCTGGAAAAAATGAACAGAAAGATTAGGAAAAACACTCAATATGCTAGTTCAGAGTGATAAAATCAGATCATAGAGTCACATCCATTTATTTATATGTAAAACTTGCATCAAAATATGAAGACAAATGACTAAGAAACTGCAGTCCAATTAGATAACCAATCATATTTGTATGCTAGAAACCTAAAAGAACTCTGCTGCATAAGAAAACAAGAAATTTTGCCAATAAGTGATTTGTCTAACACAACATGGCCTACTGACTTATCTAATTGGCCACAGTTGAACACATGACTTGAACGCTGACGCAAACCTCATCTACAATAACACGTTACATACACAAATACTATTCCTGTGTACATTCATGTAACTGACCTATCTAATTGGAGACAGTAGATAAGGTTTGCTTAAAATACAAACCAATTTTTCACCAAAAAAGACAAATATAGTGCAACAAAGAAGGAAAACAAAAATGGCACTGACTTTTACCTTCCTGCATAACATCACCCTCCAAAGTAACGGCATCAAGAAATCCATCACAATCAGGGCAGTCATCATTGAGAAATCCAGTCGTGCATGGGGCAGCATCCTTGAGAGTAACAGCATTTACAGAACCTTTATGATTGATGTGTGATGTATCTAATAATGTCTCCAAACTTGAAGTGCCTGAGCTGTAGGAACAGTTATTTACATCAGTTGGAAAAATATTTTTTGCCCTACTTGATTCAAACAAATTGGGTATCTGGCCTCCTGGGTACTGACTAGAAGACTGGCCTGAAGGGTCCCAATGATAATAAGTTCCAGACACTTCTGAATCTTCACATAACATTGATAGAGGGCGATGCCTATCTTTCTTACTCAAACTATCATAGGATTGCCCGATATTGGACCGTTTCTTTTTTATGGATGACTGAGACTGTTTACCCTTTTTTATCCCATTGGCACTGGACAAATCATAGCCAAAGCTTGGTCCACTTTCAAGAAGAGGTACATCTGAAACGATTCCTGCACCAGACTTCTGCTTGGGAACATTCTTTGTTCCAATCTCCCTAAGATCTCTCATACGCTGGAATCCTTTAACTGTATCATCCTCATGATCTTTATGTCCCTTCCGCTTCTTCCTTTTTGACGATGCATACCTAGTGCTTGAAGAGGATAAATTTTGTGGCAGTTTATACAGTGTCAAGGCTTGAGACGACTCTTGAGCTGAATTTTCTTCTATATCATACAGACTCCTTGCACCATGAGATTTTTTGCTGAGCCCATTTATATTTATAGACTTTGCAGAACATATATTCTGGGATGCACACATATCATTGGTGGCGTCCTCTTCAAGATCATCACATTTATTTGGAAAACGGGACCTTTCGATTTCAAGGGCATGCATAATGGCATCCTCTCTGCGAACATATCTCCCTTCAGTATGTGTCCTCTTTTGCTGGCGAGCTAGAGCCTTGGCTTTTACTATACATTCATCATATTCTCCACACCGAAATGACTTCACACGTTTAGATTTCTCAAGATTATACCAGTCACTGTGGCAAAGTCCAACACAGCAAGTAAGATAGACATTTTCAGACTTAGAGTGCAGGTCAATACTTTAGTAAACTGATGATGTTCAGTGCTACAAACAGAAAATATCTGAAAATGCAATGGAAGGGTGATAAACATTAATTTATGCACTTGTTTGGGAAGTTAAAAGCAAACGTTGAAGCCTAAAACATGCATACAACTTCAAATGGTTAGTTCACCAGATGAATAAAAATTTCAAATCCAACTTCTTATCTATGGTAATATTTTCTTAGTATCAGCACAATTTTTAAACTACACAATGACTTGGAGAGTACGTTCATAGACCAAATATACACCAAGAAAATAGATCAATCACTGTGCACGCAATGTCTTAATTTTAAGAAATGCATGAATTGTTTTGGCCCCCCAAGGCATACATAGAAAGGTAAGCTTATCCTTATCATCTCACGGATACTTATGATACCTATACCACTCTCTAGGTTTAGGGAACAGGGGGTTGTTATCCTTATCATCTAACGGATACTTATGATACCTATACCATTCTCTAGGTTCAGGCAACAAGGGGTTGAGAGATACGTTCAGTTGAATAGTTGATGCTGCCACCATGGGTAACAAGAACAACATCTACAGTATGTTTGGTTTCCATCATGATAATGTCCGGAATTATCCGATCCTACATATGTCGTTTGGTTCACGGTATGTAACCAACTGATCTGTCACCAGCCAATACCACAAAAGAGCTAAAACGTCAGATGGAGTCATTCTTCCTAAAATTGTGGAACGTCCTCGTGCGGCATCAATTGATTCCGCATGGAACCACTCTCCAAACCAAACACGCTACTAGAGCTAAGGGTGCTATCTAGATATGGATGCAAACATCCAGAACAAAAAATATTTCAGCAATAACAATTTGCTTGAGGTAGCTATACACAGTACCCTCCCTTTCGAAGTTCCCATTGTACCTAAATCAAAAGGTCCGCCCAAAAAATTGTTCCCTGCCAGACTTTGAGATGAACACAACATGAGAGAGTGATCCAATGACCTTTTTTTTAGAAAAAAGGTTATCCAATGACCATTAGACCAAGGACAAACAGTAGCGGCAACGGATCATCGGGAGCCAACGGAATCAACACATGAACAAGGAGAATAACAAAGTGGTGAGTGGAGTTATTGGTAGGGCGAGGGTTTGTACGGACATGCTGCCGTCGGGGCGGCCGAGGAGCTTGATAGGCGTGCCGGCGGAGCGCGGCGGGATGACGATGTTCTCGGGAAGCTCGTCCATGCCGAGGATCCGGCCCGGCCACCAGGATCCGTTGCGGCGGCGCACCCAGACGAGCGCTCCGACCTCGGCATCCGGCCCCGTCACGCCGCCGGGCCACTCCTCCTCTCCCGCGCAGCTCCCCATCACCCTGTATGTCTGCAACCCCTATCTCACCACCACCATCGCCTCCCCTCTCGTTCCTCCCCCAACTAATCAAGTCAAGAAATCTCCTTTTCTTGTCCAAGAGATCAGGAGGGGCCTTAGAAACCCAGAGACGGCTTGTAGGAGATGGCTCTGCGAGCCCGGGCGGCGGCGACGACGGCTGCCTCGTGGAGGCGGTGGTTCTCGGTGTGCAGGTGGGGACAAGAGGTGTGGAAGGAGCGGAGGGGGCAGACACGCAGAGTCCGGGGAAGGAGGAAGAAGGGAGTGGGGGGTTAGGGGTGTGCGTTGGGCCGTTTTGGGTGCTCACCATGGAGCAAATGGGCTCCGAGAGGACCCAAAGCCCATTTTTAGTGACAGTATGTCACTACGGAGAAAGTCTACGCTCGTGATTGGTTGGCTGGAGATCACCTGACGTGGTCCACGGTACGAATATTTTCTGATAGTATTTGATACCGAATCCGTTTAGAGAGGTTTAGATCTGTCCGTATCCGAGTCTGGATATTCAACATCTGATACCGTATCTATATTCAAACATTCAAATCGCATATTTATGATGTCGATATCCAATCGTATCCTATCCGACATGGTTGACACTATCCGTATTCGAATCCGAATCCGAACAGAAGTATGAAAACAAATGTAATATCAGTGATATCCATCCGTATTCAATCCGTTTTCATCCCTAAATGCAAGATTAAATTGTTTGGGTATCTAAAGGAAAAAGTCTATTTTACCTCACTGAACTATCCTCAAATTTTAATTTTCCTCTCTAAATTTAAAAATCGGATAAATCACCTCCCTCAATTTTTAAAAACCGTTCATTTTACATCTTAACCCTGTTATAGGTGGTTTTTAAAGGCGATTTTGTTTTTTTATTTATTTTGGCTAAATATTTGAAAAATCATAGTAAATCGCATAAAAATTCATAAAATGGATAATTTAATTTTTTTTGACTCCACGTGAGTAGATCTACACAGTAAACATATAATATGGTATGCTTTAGTACAAAACATTTGCTGTAGTTTTAGATCTATGCTTTTCTATAATTAATTCATAGCTACATTTTCTATGGTCCAAGTGGTGAAATTTTTATGATGGTCTAATCATTATATGATTTAACTGTAGTAAAAATTTCATACTCGTTTCTATTTTTACACACTTTTAACTATTTTAAAACTATTTAACAAGTATAAAACTAAATAAATCTATAACTCAGTTATACATGATCCAATGAGCATGCAATTTTTACCACAGTTCAATCGTATAATAATTATCCCACCATAAAAATTTCACGACAATTGGACCATAAAAACTCAATCTTTGAATTAATTACAGAGAATTATAGATCTAAAGCTACAGCAAAAACTTTATACTAAAGCATAGCATATTATATATTCATTGTGTAGATCTATTCATGTGGAGTCCAACAAAATTAAGTTTTCCATTTTATGATTTACTATGATTTTTCAAAAATTCAGCCGAAATAAAAAAAAAAAAAGACAAAACCGTCTTTAAAAACCACCTATAACCGGGTCAAGAGGTAAAATGAACGGTTTTAAAAGTTGAGAGAGGTGATTTACCCCGTTTTAGAGTATAGGGAGGACAACTAGACTTTGATAATAGTTCAGAGAGGTAAAATATACTTTTTCCTTATCTAAATGTATAGGTGAGCCTGACCTGATTAATGCAAAATAGCTCTCGCGATCTGGCTGCCGAGAAAATCTGATGAGCCTGGCTCGCGCGGTGCATGTCTTTTTTTTTTTTTAGAAACGGGTTGGATTTTATTAAGCATGGAGAGATATTACATCCAACCCCTTGCAAAGGAGCTCCCACAACAAAATAAAATTACATTGAAGTCCTTCGTAGAAGCTCCTAGAGGTTGCCGTTTCAGTCGACCGAAATCGCCACTGCTCGCCTCTCCTTCATCGCCAGCAACAGAGAAGAAAGCCGAGGAGGAAGCTCAAGGCCGACACCCCAACAGACGATGCAACATCATCTTTGAAGATAGCCAAAAGTAGCACGGCCACGAACGAACCGTACCATACAACGATGAACGAATTGACCACATCGTCACGAAGACCGGGATCGGACGCCAATCGCCTCCATGACCGATCCCAATCGACGGAAGACGAAGACCCCAACACTGGGACTAGGAACTCCAACCCAAAGCTAGCGGGAAGGAGGAGCACGTACCTAACAAGAACAACTCCAGGACCACAGGAGGTTTCTTGGAGGGAAAAATACCGACGCTATCGACGAAGTCAATAGCCCGGAAAGAAATCTTCGACTTCACCCCGGAGTCACCTCCTCCAGCGATGAAATCGGAGAACCGGACTCCTCCAATCGGAAGCAATAAAGAAACTAAATAAACCCTACCTAAATCTACTAGAGTAGAAGGAAATGTGTACACCAGCCACCTCACTCCCCGATCCCCATGCCCACCGGAGCCAAAGCAGGCGCCGGCGAGGATGGGAACGGCAGGAGATCGGCGCCAGGATCGAATCGCCTCTAGGTCGCCTGCTCTCACATGTAGAAGGGAAGAGTCGAGAAAGACTGACATAAATAATTTTTTTTTGGCGCGGTGCATGTCGAGCGCTCGACTACCTCTTAGGGCCTCTTTGTTTGCCTAGGTCCGTCCATGCTAGAAAGAGACAGGATCACTTGGGTCAAGTTGATGTGGTGCGGCAGGATTGTTTGTTTACCTGCAGCCGGCTGAACTTGGCTCGTGGAGGCCTGTGTTTGTTTGGATGTACGGAGGTAGGGGCCCAATCATTCCACTCTCACAGGTGCTGCTGCTCCTGGCCCGAAGTTGCAGCATGCGAGCCGGGCCGGGGAAAAAACGGATTTGAAATCCATTTCCCTAGGAGAAAATTGCATTTTTAGCGGTCCAAGCAACGTGCTTCGCAAAACTATCATCCCAAATATTCCTTTTGTAAAAATAGCAACCAAAACATTTGCCTCTTGTTTTCTCTACCATTTTCCCTTTTTTTCTCCTTTCTCTTTATTTCTTCTAAAACCTGCCACCTAAAAGGATGAATTTGCCCCTGTGCTAATTGACGTGGACTCTCAGCGTTGGGCGCTGGTCGCTGCTAGCATGGGCGCTGGCTGGCTGCTGCGCCTACATCTACATGTGCCTGGCTTCCTCGCCTGGATGTGCCTTGCTTCGTGTAAACTGCATGTCCATCACGTACTTGTGTACGACATGAAGTAGGGTCGGCCTCGGCGTGTCGTGCAGCAAGGCCGGAGTCGATGCAGCGGCCAGCAGGGCTCTCACCTTAGCAATGACGTCCCCATCAGCGATGAGATGCCACGCCTCAGACGGCAGAGGCACGTCGCGTGGGGCGGCACATCGTCGTCCGGCAAGGGCATGCCGAACGGCAGCGGCACGTCGTCCATGCGAGGGCTCGTGGAAGAGAAGAAGCGGCGGCGGGGATAGGGAAAGACGAAGCGACGCGGCATCAGCTGCCTCTTCGTTACGTGAGTTTGCCCAGGGGCAAATTCATACCTTAGTTGGCTGATTTAGGTGAAATAAAATGAAAAATAGGAAAAGTGGAAAAATGGTAGAGAAAATAAGAGGCAAATGTTTTGGCAGCTATTCTTACGAAAGCAACGTTTGGGATGCTAATTTTGCGAAGCACGTTGTTTGGGTTGGTAAAAGTGCAATTTTCTCTGTCCCTAGGAGAAAATTGTATTTTTAGCAGTCCAAGCAATGTGCTTCGCAAAACTATCATCCCAAACGTTGTTTTTGTAAAAATAGCAGCCAAAACATTTGCCTCTTGTTTTCTCTACCATTTTCCCTTTTTTCTCCTTTCTCTTTATTTCTCCTAAAACCTGCCACCTAAAAGGATGAATTTGCCCCTGTGCTAATTGATGTGGACTCTCAGTGTTGGGCGCTGGTCGCCACTGGCATGGGCGCTGGCTGGCTGCTGCACTTGCATCTGCATGTGCCTAGTTGCCTCGCCTGGATGTGCCTTGCTTCGTGTAGACTGTATGTACATCACGTACTTGTGTACGACATGCAGTAGGGTCGGCCTCGGCGCGTCGTGCAGCAAGGCGGGAGTCGATGCAGCGGTCAGCAGGGCTCTCACCTTAGCAATCACGTCCCCATCAGCGATGAGATGCCACGCCTCAGACGGCAGAGGCACGTCACGTGGTGGTGGCACATCGTCGTCCGACAAGGGCATGTCGAACGACAGCGGCACGTCGTCCATGCGAGGGCTCGCGGAAGAGAAGTGTCGGTGTTTCGAACAAACACCAACTAGTAAATTTATATTTGTTGCGCGTTAGGCCCGGATGGTGTACTAAAGGACACACGGTTTATACTGGTTCGGGCAGAATGTCCCTACGTCTAGTTTGCTGCTGCTCGTGTTATTAGCACTGAGAAAAGGTTCGTAGTAGGGGGTACAAACGGTCGAGCGAGGGACATGAACCAAGTCTCTGATGGAAAGGTCGAAAGGATGCCAAGAGCTCGGTTGTTGCTGACTGTGTGTGTGATGTGTGTTGAATCGATCCGTCCCCTTAGTCGGCGCGCCCTGCCCTCCCTTTTATAGACCAAGAGGGAGCAGGGATTACAGATGGGAGAAAGAGAAAAAAAAACCAGAGGTAGAGAGGATCATTCGAAGGTGTCGGGTCTTCCTTTTCCCCTGAGCCTGCCCTGCTGACATGGCAGGCGGTGCCAGGGATAGCATATTTGTTGATCCTGATAGGGCCATGCTCTGGCTTCGGTGAGCTAGTGGTCACGTCCCATCCTACTCCGGCAGACGATGCGGCGTCTCAGGGTACCGAGCCGTGACCCTACAGGGAGCAGACGGGGAACTGACCATATGTCCGTACTGTAGATGATGTGAGTTTTCTCCTGGATTGTAGTGGTTGTCGTATGTTTATGTTAGGATCCACGTCCGAGGGCTGATCGCGGCGCCCACAACACTGTAAGACGAAAGTCAGCGCCTACAACACTGTTCGGGCTCTGTCATGCCTGGAAG